CAGCCACTCAACAGCCCTGATCCCCACAGAAGAGCCCAGAGCTACACCACGTACTGGGAGATGTGAGGGAATTTGATAGGAGCCACCTGAAGGAGCAAATCAATTACCTGATTGCAGCTGGGTTCAGCACCCAGGTCCTGCCATAACAAAGCACTCCATTAACTTTAAAAGCACAGGAACCTCTGAAAGACTGGATACCAGCTGGTGGGCGAAGCTCAGAGGGGGATGGCTATCCTGATGGAAGAAATCAAAGCAAAACCTTTATTTTATTATGATTAAGCACCAGCGTGGGTGCGCTGGGGGCGGGGCAGTGCTGCTCGGTTTTTGGCCCCAGCACGGTACAGCGGCAGCTCCCCGTGGTGCCTGCAGGGGTCTGCGGTGCTCGGAGCACAGAGCGCCGGCTGAACTCCCTGCACGAGGCCTCTGTGCTCACCTGCTGGGGGGGGGGGGCCGTGGGGGGGGGCCGCCCCTGCTCCCCTGCCAAACTGGGGGGGCACTGGGGCTGTGATTGGCAGAGCCCACACAGCAGTGCTTGGGAGCTGCAGTCTGACATGGTGCTGGGCACGGAGAGCTTGCCTGCTGCTGATGGAGGGGAAATAACGCTGTTTATGAGTTTATTCACTCATTAATAAACAGAAAATGCACAGGCAGTTCTCGAGGCAGAAACAGAGACCAGAAGTAATGCCCCACTTGCTCGCTGAGCTGTGCTCCTTCCTGAATATTCAAGCTTTCTGGCCTGGTGAGCCTCAGTGCTGCGCAGAGCTCTGGGCAGCAGTGACCGCCCCGCTCCTGCAGTGCCTGGAGCTGCCTGACCCCGAGTGCTGGGCCAGGAGATGCCCATCCCAGCTGCACTGGTGGGTGCTGAGCTGTAAGCAGTGCCTGAGGGGGTTGCATGGAATCATAGAGCTGCTGGCATTGAAAGGGGTGCTTTATGTGTGTGGATTCCATTTGAAGGACTTCAGTGTTAAGAGTCATGGAATCATTAAAATTGAAAAAGACCTCTAAGATCATCAAGTCCAACAGCCAGCCCCTTCCCACCACGTCTCCAATGGAACCATTGCTCCCAAGCTTCTCTTTGGGCCGTGGCTGCTTTATGCACAGTGGTGTCGCTTTGTGGAGCTATGAACCCACTGCCCTCTGCTTCCCACCACCCAGCAGCTGAGCTGCCTCTGCCTCCCACCCCACGGCTGCTGCCAGCACAGCTTTCCCTACGGGCTGGGGGAGGACTCCGGATTGCAGCCAGGCTCTCCCTCCCCTCATTTGGAGGACACACACTGCACACCATGGGGATTCTCTCCCTGTGTCCAGGCCTGGGCTGGGTCACACACAGCACCCAACGCCTCTTTGTCTTTGGTTGGTTTTTATTTACCAATAAACGATACTACAAAACATGGGAAACATCTCCTTGAAATACAGACTGCAGTCACACTGCCAGCCTTTAACCTGCTGTATTTACAGATCTCCCCGCCCCCTCAGAGGAGCTTCAGCCTCTTCTTCTTTCTCCTCCTCCTCCTCTGGGCGCTGCTGTGCTCACTGCTCTGTGTTGGGGCACAGCAGTAACTCAGCCCCACTGCTTCGGCCATGGGGGTCAGTGCCACCACCAGGCAGAACGGCCGTGGGTCCATCAGCATAGGAAAGAGATACACGTGTGTGTGCAGATACGTCTGTATATAAGTGCTTTTAATTATATAGTTGTAAGGCAGATTAAAATTATTTTCTGACACCAGCTGGTATCAAAGGACACCACTCCTACCTCCCATGCACTTTGTGCAGTGTGTATGGGAGGTAATTAAGTCTGCAGTAATTATCATCCAGGTACTGCAATCTGAACAGCCTCTGCTCCTTCACTTCCATCCCGTGTGAGGCTCTTGCTCTGTACCCCAGGCAGTGCAGCCCCCAGCACTGTGGGGCTTTGTGCTGCTGCCCCTTGGCACATGTGGGCATCAGGGTAGGTGGGAGGTGATCAGAAGCCCCAAACCCTTCTGTGTGCTGGGAGGGAGAGGGCAGAACTGCCTCTGAGTAGGGCTTCTCATTACCACTGGATTGTCCTCATCCCAGCTGCCAGTGAAGGGCAAGCTTTTTATTTCTTTGCACATGAAAAGAAATGAAGACAATAATGTATTCCAGAACAGTTCCTCTTCTCCCAAGAATTATTATCAGGGAGCTGGAGCCCTGCTAATTGGCTTTGTTCTGCAGCACCGAGTGGCTCCTCATGCACACAGCCCCGCAGCCCCAGACCCTGTGGCACAGCCAATGAACTTCACAGCAGCACCGGGTTCTGGACAGACCTCCCCGAAGATGAGCCCACGGTGCTCCTCAGTGCTGCTCCAGGCAGCAGTGCAGGCAGTGCAGCAGTACAGCAATACAAGAGGTGCAGTAGCATGAGGTGCAGCAGTGCAGGAGGTGCAGGTGCAGCAGTGTAGCAGTGCAGCGGTGCAGGAGGTGCAACAGTGCAGGAGTATGGGAAGTGCAGCAGTGCAGGATGTAGGAAATGCAGCAGTGTGGGAGGTGCAGGTGCAGGAGGTGCCATCAGAATGGGCTCTGCTGAGGAACAGGCAAGTACAAAAGACTAACAGTAATTTAAAAACCCTTCTCCTGGAACAAGCAGCACACAGGTGCTCAGCTGCTGCTCTTCAAGCTCTTCTGTCCCAGCGTTGCTAACCCCATTGGAGTCATGCTGGTGCAGAGCAGTGACTCTGAGAAACTGTGCAGGGAGGGCATGAACAGAAACCCACGTCCAGTGGCTGCCACCCGGAGGGCCCTGCAGGGGGGTACAGCAGAGGGCTGCTCCCAGCTCCAGCAGCTGCCCCGGCCAGCGAATGTGACAGAGCCTTCCCCTCACAGGGTGCCTCGCAGGACACAGGAGAGCTGCGTCGTGGTGCTCTTTGGAATGCTCCATCAGGTGAACCCGATGCAGTACCAGCTGCTCCAGATGAGCTGCAGCTGTGGCGGTGCTCCCATCTCTTAAGGTGGAGGGAGGAGGGCTGCAGCTCACCGTTGCTCTGTGCTGCCTTCAGTTTCTTGTGGGTACAAATGGGGCAAAACAAAAAATGTTGGGGGAGAGTGATCCCCATTCTGCAGAGACCTGGTACACATGGAGCAGAGTGGAATCACAGCAGGCGAGGAGGCATGGGGGCACCCGTTGTGCATTTCTGTGTGTGTATGTGGTGGGTGAAGGGCACCGACTCACTTAGCCCTGCCTGCACACTCACAGTGCGTGTGCACAGAGCGGCGCTGAGCAGCTGCAGGTCTCAGCCCTGACACAAAGCGCCGAGAGCTGCGCTCCCACCAGCACACAGCTGACACCCCCGCATGCAGGACCATTCCTGCACCACCACACTGTGCTTATCGGGCTCCTAAGGCAGAACTCAGCTCTCTGCCACAGCACCACCCCCTCCCTGACCCCCAGCACCTCCCCAGAGGGACGCAGCCCCCGCCCCCAGGCTGTGCTCAGGCACTGCTATTTCCCCCCAGTTCCATGCTCTCTCCCTATCTGTCCCAGGGAAATACAGCAGGCTAAAAGCTACTTTGTTGTTCCTGTTGTTTTTTTTTTTAACATACCACAGTAGAAACAGTAACTGAGTTATATTTGTCAGAGTCACAGCAGTGTATGCGTATTTGCTATTCACAGACCGCAGAATATTGCCAATAACCTCACTGGTGGGACTGACGACACGGAGATACATGCATTCGTGTGAGACCACAACCGATGACGTCTATACTGCGTTAAGCACATTCACTGTTAAACACCTTCCAGTCACATCGGTTCCTTTACATTTTGTCGTTAAAACTTTAGTTTTTTTCTTCCACGATTAAGCACAAAGTAACCTGTAAACAAGTTGACATTACACTTATATACAAGTGAACCACGTCGGAGAGTAGAAGAGGTAATTCGGTGGGTGCCACTTAACCTACGTCGATGTGCAATAGATGGACCCCGCCGCAGCGGAGTCACTGCGTGCCCTGGGAGGCCCGGGCTGGGAGGGGAGCGGGGCCGGGAGGCACAGCCCGCAGCCCCCACCGCCCCACCACGGCCCCCAGAGCCGCATCCCGCGCTTGGTCATTGCTATAGATTAAAATCTGCAATAGCGTCCTTACAAACTGATTTGTAGCTAAGTGATATCGATGCCAAGAAAAATAAAGAATGTCTTTTCATAATATAAATAATTTAAAAGTGCTTTTTGTTGTTGTTGTTGTTGTTGTCATCGTTGTTCTTTTACTATTAATCTACAAAACCCCGCGGGGGCATAATCTATCCATAGGACTGGACAAGTAGTTTGTACCATGGTACACATGGGGCTGACATGTCAGGGACTCAGAACACCGCATGCAGCAGTGCTGTGGGGCGGGGGGGGGGGGGAGGGGCTCCCTCCTGGGCCTGGGAGCACTTGGGGGGCACTGGGGGGGTCCCAGCTACCACAGTGTCTGCCGGCACCAGGCAGCCCAGCACTGCCCTCTGCACACAGCTTTGAGAAGAAAGGAACAAACCAACTCCCAGGCTGGAGCTAAAACCCCACAGACTGTCCACTGGAGCGCTGTAAAGCATCTTTGTGGTGCATATAGGAGAAAAATAGAGGGGAAAAGTATAGGGGGGAAAAAATTATTTGGTCCACATAGGTCTGTGCTCACCCTCACCAATACCCTCCTGCAGCATCATACCTCCATGGGTATGATGCTCTGTTCACACAGCCCTTATGATCTGCCTGGCAAAACAAAAGCTCCCCAATTTGGGAAGAACAGAGCCCTGCAAGCACAGAGGAGCCCCTCACTGAAACCGCCTTAGGATCAGCAGAGATAATCTGTGCACACTGACATCATTTCCCACAGCGGACTCAAACTCAGGAGCTCTGGAGCCTGGATGACGCTACATAGGTCTGAGACAAGCTGCCCATTCCAGCCAGCCCCATATCTGTATGTTTCACTCTTTCTGTGCTGTCTGACAGTGAATAATTTCTCTGAGCACCTCAGTGCTCATTTCTCCCCCTGCAGCAGTGCCACAACAGCCCCTAGGACACTCCATGCAGTTCATTTCCAGTTCTCTGGAATGCACACAGCTGCTGACCCAGAGACCCATTCCCTTCCAGTCAGAGCATTAAGCCCGTCTCATTAGGCCGATCATCTCCAGCATTTGCTTCCATACCAGATGGGAGCCTGCTGTGCCTGCCCCGCCACCAGCATGGGCTGAGCCCATGGCCCCCACACAGCCTGGGGGCACAGCAGGGGCGAGGGACAATGGAGAGACAGCACCAGAACCACATGGAACACAGCTACAGAGAGCCCTGTCCCTGTCTGCGGGGAAATGCATTCATGGTGCCTCAGAAAGGGGAAGGGAGAAAGAGACAGAGCCAGGGGGTTCTGCTGCAGCCCTCAGAGACTGCAAAGAGCCGACCATCCACTGCAGCTGACAGTGCTCTTTCCTGAGAAACTGCAGTGATCAGGAGGGAGCCAATCTGCCAGCAATGTATTCTGATATATATACACATATATACACACGGAGATGTATATACACACATATATATCTATGCACACCCACACCCAGGCGCTGAAGGCAATGCTGTCCTGGCACAGTGCTCCCAAAAGCCCTGCTGCCCCCAGGCACGGAGCTGCACACCCCCAGAGAGCAAAGCAGGGTGCACTGCCGGCCCTGCGTGCCCTTAAGGTACTCTGCTTGTGTAAGACTCAGAGTTGACAAAGAAAAACATTTGTCATTGTGCTTCCACAACTGGAAAAATATCATTACCCTACGACTATAAATGATTAAGGTGAGATAGGCAAATTAGGCAGTTCTATAGAGATGGATTGTTTTTTTGTGACCTAACACATAATTACTATCGGGAATTATTTCCGTATCACTGCGGATCCCACTGTAACAGCAACGGGAATCATCCCACCTATAGGTGGTACTTCCGCAGCAGTTCCGACTGCCAGGGATGCTTTCTTTCTGGAAACCTGTCTGGGATTTTGATCTTGAGGAAATCCTGGATGCACTTCTCCAGCTCCTCCTCGATGGAGAGCTTCTCCTTCACTGCCTTCTTCTTGCCGGCGGTGGACTCACGGGAGCCCGAGGTGAGCGTCCGCAGCAGGTCGCTCTTGCGCCGGCTCTCAGAGTGCTGCAGCAGCAGCACGGGGCCCTTCTTGGCCGGGCGGTCCAGTGTCTGGATGTTGGGCTGTCGCGTGACGGGGCCGCAGATGACGGTTTCCTGTGGGGAGCTGCCCTCCGACTGGCTGTCACAGCTGGACGTCGACAGCTCGTTGCAGGATGTGCCGCTCTCACCCTCCTTCTCGCCTTTGCCATTCTTGCAGCAGCAGTCGCAGTGAGACGAGGCCCAGCGGGACGGCTCACCTGGAGGGAGAGAGCGTGGTTAGAGCCTGCAGCAGCTCCCTGAGCCCACGGTTCCCCTGGAGTGGAGCCCTCAGGGCCATCAGTGCCACAGTTCCCATGGCCACCCACTGATGGCACTGCTCCGTGCCCTGGGCACATTTGGGATGCTCAGCAGAAACGGATTTGCTGACGGTGCAGGGAGGTGGTTAAGCAACTCCATGAAAACTGAAATTTTCGGGGCTGATGGCTGCAGTGACCGAGGCCCTATGCACAGTCCTGCTCACTGCACTCCTTGCATGCACTGCCTGGAGCCACATGGGTGTCCAGTGGCACAGAGCATTAGCACAGTGCGGTGGTCTGATGGGAACAAAGCATGCAGGGAATGCCACTGCCTGCCCAGGGCACTGCTCACTGTCACTGCAGCCTGTGCTCACTGCAGCTTCGTGCTTTCATTGGATCCAACGGAACTACTTGTTATTTCTGAAAGTAACAAATCAAAGCCATAATGCTGAATTGGAGGCTGCATCACTGACATCCACCCTGCAGCAGGAAGGATAAACAGAGCCCTCTCCAAAGGCCTCGACTCGGCATCACAGAATCACAGAACCATAAAGACTGGAAAAAATCTCCAAGATCACCAAGCCCAACCCCAACACATCACTGTCACACCCTCTGAATCATGTCCCTAAATAGAATCCCAGAATCATCAAATTGGAGGTCTGGGAAGCAAAGCGCGGCTCTGGGGCACTCTGCCCTCAGGCCATTCCTTTTGCAGCCCAAGCACAATGCACATCATGGGTATAAATGGGGAAAGAAACAAACAGCTGAAAGCCTCCTCCTGTCTGCTTCTTGCTCAACAGTGGAGGAGTCTCCCAGTCTGTGTCCCTGTGCCTGAACTGAATTCAAGGCTTGCTTCAAGACCTGCTCTTTGTCTTGTCTGATGAAAGTCAATAATGGCCAAACTGAAATTTCTCATCATTTGCTTGGCAGTGACAGAGGCATAGAACCTTCCACCATGCAGCCCCTGTGCCCACGTCTCATCCCACACAGGGCAGCCCTGCCACCCCCAGTGCTCCCGAGCAGAGGCACACGCCAGATGCCCCATGCACAGTACAGTGCAGGGCAGAGCAGGCCCCCCGGCAGCCCCTGTCCTTGCAGAGATGTGCACACTGCACCGGTGTGACCGCGCACCTCGGTAATTACCGTCTGCCTGCTCAGTGATGCTGGGATAAAAGGGACTCATTAATCCCAGCCCGGCTCTGCTGCCTTTCTCCCTGATCTTAGAACATTTCTCTCCTACTGCCTTAAGTATAATTACTATTAGAAGGTTCTGAAGCAGCAGCAAAGCCTCTGATGTGTGACACACAAGTATCCGTCGCATGCTTCTCCTCTCCCTCTTAGAGCAAATGCACTGTGAGCTGGGAATGGGAAACCTGAGCTGCTGCATGCAGCAACCCCATGGACAGGGAGCACTCGTGGTCCGAGATGTGCACGGGGCCTTCAGACTGAAAGCAGTGAAAATGTGTGGGTTTCCTGCTGATTTTGGTTGTTGTTAGAAATGGTGCACAGACACCAATTCCAGCACCGCACAGCCCATGGCAGACACAGAGCTGGAATTCTGCAACCTGAGCATGGGGCACGTGGCCCCATGGTGCTCCTCCTGCTCCTGTCCCCCAGCACAGCCATACTGCTCTGAAGTGCTGCCATGCTCCAACGCCACCCCGTAGCATGGCTGCAGCACACGGGGCATCTGCTGCCCACCTGTGTGGGCTCCGAGAAGCGCGATTTGTGCCAGCTCACCAAAACATCAATTATTCAGGTGCGAGTGCCACCAGTCCCCAAGGGACCCCACAGCAGTGTGGTGTGAACACACAGACAGTGCCAGGGCCACATCTCCACGTGGCCCAGCAAGAGCAGGAGCCCCTGAGCCAGCCTTGAGCCCACGGTTCCCGGTGAGCAGGGCTGACAGGATGGGCTCTCCATGGGTGAGTCCTTGCCACTGGCACTGCCTCCTGGAGCTGCAGTATTCCAAAAGCAGACGGTGACTTTGATGACATTTGCACTGGGAAAGCACTCAGCTCTTCACCACCTCCCTTCTTTTTGACATCTATCTTACAATATTAGTTTTAATACCACACTACGTACAGTCAATTTTCTTTTTAGTTTCAGATCTATAAAACTCATAATGTTGTGATATTTCGGAAGGAAGCTGCCACAGATTACTAAGATCACCAAGGCCAGCCTCCAGCCTACCCCCACCATGACACCAAGCCACTCAGTAGAACTTCAGCCCAGTGCCTCACATCTCACTCCTTCCCCTCCCAGCTCCAGGGCTGAGGCACTGGAAACTACCGCACATTATTTGGCAGGTCAATAAAGCCTGGATGGCCCAGGCCTTCAGACAGGCGATGGTGGCCCAGTGACAATTTGATGTAAATCACTCATCCTCACACACACAGAGCCTCATAATGGGTTCTGCATCCGTGCATGAATTAAAGGTGTTGTGATTGATGAGAGACTGAGGTCTAATCGGTGTTTTAATAAATACGTTCTGAGTTGGTAAGCTAGCCAGATCAGCGGAAAATACCTCTGTCCAAATAAAATCACCAAGGTAAAGCTCAGGAACAACGACAAATGCTATGCAGTGATTGGCTCTGGTACCAGCACTGGCAGCAGGATGGATGCACGGCAGATTCATGTGCATTTTGGACCAAGGACCCTTCAGACAAACAGACCAGGGGAGGCCCCAGCAGTGACAGCATTGCTCTGAATATGCTCATCTGCGCTCTGGCCGGCACTGGCCGAGCTGTCTTCTCTCCCCCACATCCTGCTCACTGCCAAACTCACCACTGGGCTTTGAGCTGCTCTCCACATAGTACCTGGCTCCTTCCCCATCCATTTTAATGCTTTTGAAGTTCTGTCTGTAATGTGCTTTTACCATATACGTTTTCTGATGTGGTGCAAAAGCAGCAACGTTTGCTGAGGTCCCTGTGTGGGGCCAAACCATGTGCAGGATGACACAGCCCCAATCTGCGCACGCACATCAGCCTCCCAGCATGCTGCCATTTATCAGTGCTCCCATGGTCGTGGAAGCACAGTACCGTTCAGGTTGGAACAGACCCCTCAGACTGCCAGCCCAGCCCACCTCACCATGTCCTCCAGCCACGTCCCCCTGTGCACATCCCCACGTTATGGACGCCTCAGCATGGTGACCTCCCCCTCCCTGGACAGCTGTGCCACTGCTGATCACTTTTGATCACTGATCACTGCTGATCTTTTGGAGAAAACATTGTCCCTAACATCCAATCCAAACCTCCTGTTCCCTATAACACTGTGCTTGAAATGCAGTCCCTTTCCTTTCCAAATACTGCAAGTGGAAACAATATCTGGCCAGTAGGACTGTGGCATTAATCTTCCTCCAAGAGAATTACAGTGAAATGAAAAAATGGTGCAGAAGTTTTCTTCCACCAATAGCATTTACTCTTCCTGCCCTCTCTCAAACATTTCCCCCTTGTTTAAGTTGGGTGCACCAGGAATCAGCAGCTGCCATTACTACATCTTCCCTTACATCCAGCCCTGCCTCCACCCGTGTAAGACTGCTCTGTATCTTTATTACTATGGTTTTAATATTTTATCTTAATACAATCCTGTTGCTTAAAATTTATACTCGAGTTCTGGAAAGTGAAGTTGGAATAAAGGAGCAGGGGCTGCCCTGCCGCAGGGTACGGAGGCGGAGCATCCAGCAGGATGCAGACCCCCAGGTCAGAGCCCAGCGATGCAGTGCAGGTGGAAGGTGGATGGAATCCTCAGACATTCAGCGCCAACGTGCTCCTGCTATCTATTGAGAAAGGAGTTAAAATCCTCCATTAATTAAAACAGAGGTAAAACCATCCAGGCTAACCAATCAGAAACAACATCCCTCTCAGTGCCCTAAATTTAGAATTACCCACAGGAGCATTGCTCCAGACTCCCTGAGTGCATAATGCAAACATTCAGAGCCGGCTCAGTGCCACAGGGCACCATGGCCCCACTGCGGGCACTGCCTGCCCTGAGCTGCTGCAAAACACCAAGAGATGCACACGTATAAATACATGCATTTGCACACATGCAGGTGGAAACTCACTCCCATGTTTTCCTTTGTTCTGCCCTTCACCATTTACATTTGATCTTGAGCCCCTTCTAGAACCTGTTTAATTAGCAAAGACAAAGCACACGGGCGTCCTGCTTCTGGAAGACTTATGCTGCAAATTGCCAACAGATGGTTATGATAATGTGGGAGCCACAGTTTCTGAATTTTTAAAAATTAGGACTCATAACAGATAAATGCTCTAGAGATATGAAGGCATCATGTCAATCTATGTTGTTCCAATTAATTGCAATCAATTGCTAATTGAGAGCTATTTTAAGACTCGTCATTACTTTGAACATAATGTGGAATGATCTGTGTGGATCCCTTCACCTCCTGCAGGTGCCATCAGTGCAGAGAGCTCTCGGGACGCATAAGCAGAGCAGCCCAGCAGTCTGCCTGCTGGCAACCCTCTGCTTCATGGGCAGAAACGGCCAAATGTGCAGCTGTGGATTCCAAACTTTCAGGGACGGGGCACCTCAGTCTCTTGTTGGATTTCTGCTTGCAAAGCTTTCCAAAGTGGCAGCTCTGATGTTACTGAACAAATATATCTGCCTCCTCTTTGGGTTTCCAAATGGCACCAACATCTCTTTGGGCAGCTGGACCAACATCTCCAAGGACACCCAAGCAGTAACAGTGGCATGGTGCTAAAGGCAGGAGGGGAAGAGGAGCCCATTTTTTTTTATTACAGTATGGGAAAGGGTTGTCCAAAGACGCATCGCAGATTCTAAAGAGAAATTAGGAATTTCTCTTTGCTTTTGCAGACAGAAAAAATAACAAACTCATACTTGGATGATGTGTTGGCAATGGCAGCACTCATACAGGGCCCAGCAGCCACCAGGATCCAGAAGGACACAGCAGGAATGGCACGGCTGTGAGCAATGGGTTTGCTCAG